AAAAATTACCACTCCCATGTTCATCCATTTTATCTAAATCCTTCTCCAACCTTCCTTTTGGGCAGCCACTAAAGAAAGGTTTCTTGGGCTAGGAAAGAGGGAACAAAACCAGAAGGAGGATGACTTACTGAGATGGATCCGACCCCGGTAGGATGGGAGTCCTAGGTTCTACCCTGGGGCCCTGTCTACAATAGGGCAGGATCTAACCCAGTGCTGTTTGTGCAATGGCGATTACATGCAAAGAGAGTTGGGCCAAGTTTCAAGAGGAGGCTAGAGATGACTACAGGCAGTAACTTGTGGCCTGGTGGTTGGCATACTTTACTACAAAATGGAATTTTTCATGTTCAAACTCCAATTTGTGGAGGGGCCTACATCTTCTGCTGTTGGGCATTTGCCATATGCTGGGAGGGATACTTTCCATTTGTCTTTGTGATGGAAGGTGATTCTATTCCATCACAGGTGAAAATAGAATCCAAACTGTGCATAAATGTCAAATATTGCTTCCATGCACCTATGTAAGTGTCTCTTAGTCATGTAAAGGCAAAACAGAATTTGCACTTAAGTAACAGAAGTGGCTGTGAAATTCTGGTTTCTTCAAAGTCTGTAAGTGTTTTGTTCATATCTTCATTGGGGCCAGGAGTTCATTCCTGATTCTGTTCCTAGTCAGCTACTGATGAACTGCAAATGTTTGGAAAGGTCACTTAATGGCTTGGATCCCCTACCTACAAAATGAAATAAGTAACTGTACACCATTTTTTCTGGGCTTAGCAAATGCATGTTTTAAAGGGTTTGAAATCCTTGAAGGAAAGCTACTCTGTACAGAATGCACAGAATACTCTATACATAATTAAATAATTACTTGATGACTATATATCTGTTCTTTCCAACACTAATAATTCCATAATCATTACTTTCCAAACTAATTGTATTTAGATAAGATAGTGAAGGTCACTCCAAAAAATGTATCTAAAGAACAGAAACTAACACAAGATACAGGGAGGCATTGCATCAAGATAATGACAGCCACAATAAAGCAGTGCAGCATCTTTGCTGACTATGAGCCCAAACCCTGTGATTAGCTTTTAAATGGAAATTCTCTGTCTCAGAAATGGCAAAGTGAGCTATATCATCATTGTACTTTTAAGTACCAAGATGTGGTTAAATCAAAGACAGAAGGCAAGTTAATTTTACTATCCACACTGACTATATTAAAGCATGTTGTGATAAAATCTGTCCCAATGTTACCAATCCAAACTATTTCGCATGTAAAATCCATTGCCTTTAGCATAGTTTATACTAGACATAGATTTGGCCCTAGATGTTAGAAATCAGTGCAGTACAACAGGAAAAAGGCTGTCTAAAAGATAGCAATTTAATTTGTGTGCAGGAGGATGGATAATAGACATCTGGCTTAGCAGGAGAGAGCAGCAGCAGCAGCAGCATGAGCAGCAAATTTTGTTATTATTAGCAATTCAAATTCAGGTATCAGATTGGTGTTGTATTTGAATCATTCATCAGGGTTCGCTTGGAGCCTAAAACTTGCTCTGTGAAAGTTCTAATAATTTTCAGTCAAAACAGCTTTTTCTCACTGCTGAGTGAACAAAAAGGGGGGGAAATGGAAGCAGGCAAAAAGATATCTAAGGAGATTGTCCAAGAGAACTAAGATTTTTTTTTAATGTTTAAGCTATAATTGTAATGTTATTTACAATCTAGAAAAGCAATGCATTCCCAAGCCTAATAGAAATTTCTAAAAATAGTATTTCTCAGATGTATCTCTGACTTTAAAATACCAGTGGAACTTCCAGTGATGTGTACATTGGAAAGAATCATTGGCTTTCCATCTTTGCTAGGAACAGACCAGAAACCCTCCTTTTAGAAACTTTATTCTGTGTTAACAATGACTTACCCCAAATGGCCACTGCTGGTTATTCAGGATTCTTTCTTTATTGAATCCTACTAAGAAAACTAAGTCCAACCCATTCTGCCTTAGCCATAATAATGAAGCATTTCTAGACTTGAGATATCTATGCTTACAGCTTCAGTTTTAATGTTGAAAGCTCCCCTTGACCTTCAGAAACCCTGTCTTTATCAACTAACAGCATTGTGCAACATTACTAATAAAGGAAGCACTCTTCATTACTATTATTTATTACTTTCTTCTGGTAGCATAACACACTTTCTGCATATAACTAAAACACCATCCATTACAAGAAGGGCTTGTGGTCTTAAAAATAAAATAAAACAATAAATAGACAATAAATAAATGGAAGAGTAAAATGTTACATCATTCAAGAAAGCAACAAAGCTGATAATCCTGGCCAGGTTTATGCCTTTGGTCAGAGACACAAGATGACAATGTCATTTCTCCAAGGTACAGTGTGGGTTGATAAGCATGTATAGAGCATCCCTGAATATAAAAGTGAAAAGGGAATGGAGATTGCTGAGAAGTTTGTAGAACAACTTCCCCAAATCACTAGCAGTCAAAGCTGAGCCTGCCAGGAGAGGTTAGTAATCTACTGCTCTAGCTTTTGCTATATTGCTTGCTACCCTTCCCCTCAATTAAGGGGAGGGTATCAAGGAAATGTAAATGCCCATTCTTCTCCATAATATTCTGAGAGCAGAAGCAATTTTTTCTTTTATTCAGACTCAGAGCCAGATGTCTCCTCCTTTCTTCTAAATAGTAACTGCTATTTCAGCAGAAGCTCTGGAATCAGGAGGATTGCTCACAGAAGTCAGTGTCAAAGTTTTGATTGATTCTGCTTCATACCAGAAGTGCTCACATTGTGGCCCTGTTAGATTTTAATGAATCTGCAAATTCTGCTTAACACCTGTCATCTACAATCTCAGACAAGACACGGAAAGTAGAAGTAGTAGCGGTTCAGGATTGGAACCAAAGTGGATCAAGACCCAACATGAATAAAGCAACTGAATGTGCCCTTTATGTCATAAATATCTTATATTCAGATTATTTCACGCTTAAATGTTCATTCTGATTTAGGTATTTGTAGGTCTGGGAATTTATTGGGGAAGTGGGAGGGGGGAGATAAGACGAACCAAACCTTATATTCTGGAATAAAAACATGCTGGAAAGTTAAAATAATCTGATATTACAATTTACATGCCCACATAATCATATTACATATGGGCTCTAACATTACTATAAAAATAAAACAGCACCTGAGCTATTTATGAATTGGTAGTTATGCCTGTTCCTCATCTATACTGAACTACTCTTGAATTAATTCAGAATCCTGCATCTCAGCTACTTTAGCATTCTACTCTGTTACCAATACTTATTATAAGGCTTTTCATAAGTCAGCTCCATTCATGCATAGCATAGCATTACTACAAACAAGAAATATTTGCTTCCCAGTCACTATATATCTACTAAGCATGTAGTGTTCACTTCCACTCTGACATCCTTTCCCACATTGTTGATTTTACTTTATGTCTCAAGACATATCTCTGAAACTACTTGAATACCTTACGCTTCTGTGATACTATCAATTCCCTTACATCAAAACAACATTTTTCCAATTGTCAAGCTGTATTTATTGACAGTTGGAGTGGATCCTTGATCTGGCCACCTCACTTATCCATTTCACAAAATAGCTGAATAAGCTGGTATACATGCAACAACACTAGCAGTGTGAGACCCAAGAGAGGCCCAGGTAGACTAAACTAAACAAGGGGGTGTTGTAGGTCAGGAATGAGGCAAACTGGTGTTTGACATAATGACACATAACCTGGCATTTATTGCAAACATGAATTTGATCAGCCTTTTCATAATGTACAAGACAGTACTGTACATTTAGGTAGATAAGCAATGGAATCACCTGAGTCTTGAAGCTATGTTACTCATTCAGTTTATTTACCAATATTCCCACTTCTTTTGTGATTATCATCCATTTCTTTTTTTTTAATGAAAGTAATCAAAACATACTGTAGATTTATCTCAGCTTCCAAATGGGCTCTTCTGTTTTACTTCTAATCTCCAAATATAATATTTTGCTTAGGGTACAATTCCCCACTTGCACTTTGTAGGAGGTACACAACAAGTACCCCCATACAATGAGCCCTGGGAATTTTGCCATGAACAAATAAGGGAGGAAGTGAGTGTTTTCTCATCTCTGCAATCACCATATCAACTTTCGGCTTTAAACTGTATCAGGCCCATTCATAAAAAAAAATGTTCATAGCAATGCATTGGCAGAATGTGGAATAGACTGAGCAAGTGGGAAAATAGTTGAGATGTCTAAGATAAAAGATCAGAAATAAGTGAATGAATGCAATAGGTATATTTTAAAAGTGAATCTCAAAGCAGCCTTTACCATAGAGGCTCCACAATATTTCTGTTATGCGTAAATATTTATTTAAATTCTGAACATTTAGCTGTGAGTAGATGTGGTATCTTTTATTGGACCAACTAAATAATTGGAAAAAATGTTCTTTGCAAGCTTTCAGGCATGAGCACCCTTCTCTGGGCATAGAGAGAGTCTGGTTGTGTTTTGCATGCTCTTCTAGGTAGAATAGAAGCCAATATGCTAAATGTAGGTCTGTGAAAATGCAAAGACATGGCAGTGAGGATTAGTGGCCATGGGAGAGAGGTGTGTGGGGAACTGGGGGAGGAAGAAGGGAGAATGTTGACCTGGTGATAGAATGTACAGTAAAATCGCTGTGATCCAGCATCCCCCATTCCTGGAGGATGCTGGATAACAAAATATGCTGGTGAATTGAAAGGCCCGAACAGGAGTCTTTGCCTGAGGGCCCCGCAGGACAGGAAGGTGGGCCTCATGCAGCCTGCTATCCCCTGGGCCATGGGGGCTCTTCCGGTCTCACTTTACCTTGCAAGTTGGCATGCCAGTTAATAAAGCACACCGGCTTCTAAGGTGCCAGTTAATGGAGCTTTTCTGTAGCTGGTAAAATGCAGACAGGTTACATGGGGTTATTGGATATCGGGCAGGTTATAATGTGCCATAAATCCAATATCTATATTTAGTCCATGATTTTTTGTATCCAGTAGATTTATGAAGTGAAGTTCATAGGCTTGTCTACAAAAGGTGTTTTGTAAATTCCCTTTGAGGATTAGAACTGAGAGATTGGAGAGAGAGGGGTTGTCTTGTGAGAAGTGTGCACCCACAGGGAATTGGGTCTTTTTGTCTTTGATAGATTTTTGGTGTGTATGCATTCTGGTATGCAGTTGTTGTTTGGTTTCTCCTACAGATTTTCCATCAGGGCATTTAGTGCACTGCAGGAGATGTATTACATTTCTGGAGGTGCAGCTGTAAGATCCAGGAATGCTGATGGCTCTGTTGTGGGGTGTAGTAATTGTGGGGGTGGTGGAGATGTGTTGGCAGGTTTTGCATTCCTTGTCCCGGCATGGTTTGGAACCATTTGGTGTGCTCTTGGCCATGGGAAGTTTGCTTCTGGTGATGAGGCTGGCAAGGTTCAGTGCTTGTTTAAAGGCTAGGATAGGTGGTTCTGGAAAGATCCCTTTAAGTATTGGGTCATCTTCTAGTGTGGGTTGCAATTGTTTGAGGATTTTCCATATGGGTTCTAGGGAAGGATGGTATGCCATAAATAATGGTGTGTGATTCTTGGGGATTTTCTTTTTGTACTGCAGCAATTCTTCTGCAGTTAGCAACAACCAGCAAACCTAGAGCTATATGCTTATTACACTTAAAGGATAAGAAACCTGCTTTAGATAACATATTCACCAAAAACTCAAATCAAGCTGGACATACTGGGAGGTTCCAAAATTATTGGTTAACAAGTGAATTCTAGGGACTTATTAGAAGGATTTTTTTTTCTGGACTCTACAGGAATCATCACTAAGCCAAAACTTCTTGCACATGTAAGATATCTCTTCACAGTAGTCATGGGTGTGAACACAGCAAAACTCACCCTGAACCCTGAATAAACAGACAACATTTCTAAGCCCCATGCCATGGCAGCTACTTTAGTATCATAACCTGAGTTAGCTAGTTTACTACAAGTATGTCTACTGAAGCTGCACCCTTACCTTTTATAGCATTATAGATTAACATTGTGTGATTAATTAGTATTGCAGTACATAACATACAAACCAATTGCTCAGTGGGCACCTTCCTGTAATCCTTATCCAATGAACAGTTCACTGCTACCAGTGCGAGTGCCAGTAGAAGTGTCTTAGGGATAAATCTTTCTTTCATTTTGTCTTCTATTATATAGTGGGTGGCATTAGAAGAATGAATATTTAATACATCATGCTCCTTTATGGAAGAATTGTATTCTGTATTCTAGGAGTGAAAATCCCATTGTCAGGTTAACTAATGTCAGTGATAACTGTCCTTTTTTCTATATCAGCAAGTTGTGTGCACTGACAACTAGATGCATAGTCAAAGTTGCTACTTGCTTCATATCTGTTTTTCTGAAGATGCTCACACTGACTCTGGAAAAAACACATTCCTCTGGGGCTAAACCTTTTCAGATATTTAAATGATGTAGATTTGCACAACTACATTAAGCTATATCAATCTGCACTAAGCTAAGATTCTGACTCAGGCTAAGTCTCCAGGCTAACGATGATTTACATTAATATAGATATTAGTACACACTCACATCTACCCTTATACATGAACACAAACACACACATGAATGTGTACATAGAAAGAGGGTGTTGGGTTTTTTGGAATATTTCATTACGTTGTCTTAAAGTTCAGGAAGGCTAAAAAACAATAAAATGTTTACAAAGTAAAGAAGTATTTTTTAACTCTGGCTACAGCAAGCATAACTGAGGTTTCAAACCTTAAAGGCAAAATGGGATGCACATTAAAATATTAATAATAAATGTTATGAGGGTTTGGAAAATCATGCTCACTAAGATTTTTAGCAGTCTGATAAATTTCCCACCCCTTTTGATATCACATAGGAAATTGTATATTTTCTCTCTCCTTCATTCAGACAGTCACAGAAACTAATGCTTTTAAACTACTGCTTGGACAATTTGCATGATGGGGATTGTAACTGCCTCTTTGCAACTTACACAGCAATGTACTTCAAAAAAAGTACTTTTATATCAGGCACAAGAAAAAATTGCAGGTAAAAGAAAAACATAGATTCATGATTTTAGGTTCTCTCTACTTTTTTTTTCTCTTTTTTGCTACATTCAGCAAATTGTGCACTTTCATTATTAACAATGTTTCATCTGTGTCTTGTTACATTGCTTCAACACAGCCATCCAAATATGAACTGATGCATTTAATACAGCCTTGCTTTTTATATTGGTCTCAAACTAAACAATACCAATAAAAGAAAAGAAAAGAAACCACTCCACTTTTCACTCCCATAAATTTCAAAGCCTAACTGAGAGTGTTGTAGCAACAAACAATATTAAAACATACCTACACACTCTATCTTCTTTTTTTCTCTACCTTTGTCTTGACTCCAAAAAAGTAGTTTAGGACAGGCCTCATCAGCATGACTAGCTAAACAGGATGCAAATTTTATCAGTTTTCTAACAGGAGTGTAGGTGGTAGCCATGTTGATCTAAGGACATAGGCAGACAAGGTTCTTTGGGTGAATCTGATCTCTTTTATTAGACCAACTTAAATAGTTGGAAAAAAAAATTAAAGCAAGCTTTCAGGTTTAAAAATCCTTTGTCAGGCTGAGGAAGCCTCTGCAGTTGGTGTGTGCTCTTCCTGGATGGATGAAAAGTAAAGAAGCCAGAGGCTGGTATGCATGCAATATAGGCAGTCAGTGAAGATGTAAACTGAGAAGTCAGTGGGTGAGAGAGAGGCTGGGTGCAGGGGGAGAAGGGAGTGAATGTAGCAGTTAAATAGTGGAGAGTACCTGGGGAGTCAGATGTCAGGCAGGTTATAATGTGTCATAAATCTAATGTCTATATTTAGTCCGTGATTTTTAGTATCCAGGAGGTTGATGAAGTTCATAGGCTCTTCTGTGAGAAGTGTTTTGTAAGTTTCCTTTGAGGATTAGAAATGAAAGATTGCAAAGAGAGCAGTTTTCTACTGAGAAATGTGCCCCCACAGTTAGTTGGGTATTCTTGTCTTTGCTAGATTTCCGGTGTGCGTTCATTCTGGTGCGCAGTTGTTGTTTGGTCTCTCCTATGTATTTTCCATCAGGGTGTTTGGTGCACTGGATGAGACATATTACATTTCTGGAGGTGCAGCTGTAAGATCCAGGAATGCTGATGGCTCTGTTGTGGGGTGTAGTAATTGTGGGGGTGGTGGAGATGTGTTGGCAGGTTTTGCATTACTTGTCATGGCATGGTCTGTATCCATTTGGTGTGTTCTGGGCCTGAGGAAGTTTGCTTCTGGTGATGAGGTTAGCAAGGTTTGGTGCTTGTTTGAAGGCTAGGATGGGTGGTTCTGGGAAGATCTCTTTAAGAATAGGGTCTCTTTCTTATAAGGGTTGTAATTGTTTGAGGATTTTCCACACAGGTTTGAGGGAGGGGTGATATGTCATAACCAGTGGTGTGCAATTCATGGAGGGGTTTCTTCTGTACTGCAGCAGTTCTTCACATGGTATCTGGGTGGCTCTTTCAAACATACGATCTGTCTCTCTGGAGGAGTGCCCTCATTGAGTGAAAGCTATTTTAAGATTGGTGAGGTGGCAATCCCAAGCGTTCTCAGTGCAAATCCGGTGGTATCTGAGGGGTTGGCTGTATATCACAGATTTTTTGGTATGTTTAGGGCGATTGCTGGTTCTGTGCAGATATGTATGTTGGTCTGTGGGCATCTTGTATAACATGGTCTGTATTTTACCATTCTGGATATTGATCATCATATCTAAAAAAGAGATGTTGGTGCTGGAGTATTCAAGAGATAGTCGAATGGAGAGATGGTGATTGTTGAATTTCTGATGGAACTCAATCAGAGATTGCAGGTTTTCAATCCAAATGATGAAGATGTCATGAATATATCTTAAGTATATATCAAACTTCAGTACAGGTCTGCTTGTAAATCAAGTTAGGCCACTGTCCACCAGCATCCCAGGCACTTTTGTGGGTATCTGCCAGCCCCACCTTGCAAGAAGCTGTGCTTGGCTGCTGCACCCAAGTACACAGCCAGCTGCAACCCCAGGCTCTCGCAGACCTGAGACAGCACCTTGGCTAATGCTGACATAGGAGGGATAGAAGAAGTGCTCAGCCATTCCCAGTTCTCTGGTGCTACACTGGCTCATGGGGGGCTTGGAGAGCCTTGGGCGAGAACCCACTAAAGGATCCCCATGCCTCCGCAAGCAGGCACAGTGATGGGGAGCAGACCAGGCTAGAGATGCCTACCACTGGCTCTGATAGCTGATGGGGGATTGTGGGGGGAGGGCTGCTTGGTTGTGTCCAGCTCCCTGGTGTGGTTTTGTGCCAGCTCAGTGGAGGGCATGGGGAAACCTGTGTGAATGTGTGGGAGGCCATCCAGAGATCCCAATGAGCAGGTACAGTGACAAGGAACAGACTGGGCTGGAGATGCCTTTCAAGGATGCTAAACATTGACAGGGATGGGGGGAGGAGTGCTTGGCAGCACTCAGCAATCTCCAGCAGCCTGGGGAGACCATGGATCATGTTGGGAGGTGTGCTTGAATGCCCCCAAGCTACTGGCCTTGACCAGTGCAGGCAGCCTGCATGCCCCCCACCCCCCAAAGGGTGAATTTCTGTTCTGTTTGCTCCTGATACTTACAGAAATCCATGTAGGTTTGAGTGATTCCACCATGGGCTTTTTTACCATACCTAGTCTAAATTTAACTAAGCCCCATCTAAATTCAGATTATACATTATTCAAGAAAAACATATCAGAATATATCTTCCTGACCATTTATTTTTGTTTGCTGAAAAGAAAAATAAAAAGGAAAAAGGTAATACAACAACCTACAGCAACATAGTATTAAAACTGAGTTTCGAATAAAGAACTATTAAAGCAGCCAAAACTCATGTTTTCTGTCCTAATTATTTTAACTGTAAAACACTAACATTTTACCAATTTGTTAAAACAGTCGGGGCGGGGGGGGGCAGTGTTTGTCTTAGCATGGATGTTTATTTAAAACTTGTGTATGAGTGGTATCCTGTAATTCTGAGGACTTCATTTAATGATCAATATTTTTTCTTTTCAAAATGTAGACAAACGCTTAAAAAGAACACAGACATGCATGTGCATATACACCTACACACATATAATAGCACCATAAACCCAAAGGCCTTAGTAATATTTTTGTTTCTGTGAGAGGAAAAAGTAATTCGCTTCTATCAAACTTAACACTAATCTGTTCCTTTAAACAACTCATCACTTTGCTAGTGGTTTTAAATGATTCATGTTAAAGCAGCCATGTATGCATAATCCAACATAAATGCAAATCCAAAAGAAAATAAGGTACAGCATTGCTTATAGGAAAAAAATCAACATTTACATTTAACCATTACTAGTTACTTTCTTCCCTATTTCTCTCTCATGATTCTGTATTATATTACAAAGATAAAAAAACTAACAGCCATGAGCAGGATGTGCATAGTCACACAATGGAAACTGTCTGACAACACAAGCAGTCCCATTCTGTTAAACACAGCTATAAAAGTGTTAAGGTCTTGATCCATTAAAAGTATGAGCACCTAGAATGGTATCTAACATGGGTATTTAGGTTCCTAATTCTCAAGTTTCAACCTGGAAAATCTTGATCAAGCTGTTATCTACCCTTCTTTTGGTTGCCTTTGGGTTTTGTTTTGTTTTTTTGCAGGGGGGGGGGGGCATGGTATGGTAGGAATTGGAGGAAGGGAAGGTAAGAAATTCACTATAAATTCCCTGTACTAGGTACCTTGTGACAGGAGTATTACTACTGGAGCCTTTCTCTTGGTGGCTCCGCCCTCCTGTAATGGGCCAACCACCCGCTTACTCTCCTGCCACGCCTTGATCTTGATTGATTGATTGTAATTAGTGGGAGGCTGCCCACTTTACACACCCCAGTGCCAGGGGGAGCTGTGTGCTGCTCCTTTTTCCTCCCCTACACCGCAGCCCAAGCCTCACAGATGGTACTAACGTGGTCCTTGCCTTCTCTCTGGGGCTTCTCACTGCCCCCTTTACTCTGGGGCTTTTCGCTCCTCGCAGCCCTCTCTCCGGGCTACTCACCGCCCCCCTTGCTCTGGAGTTGGGACCAATGCACCGCAAATGCTGTGCCCTCTCTGGCACCAGGATCCTCATGCTACCATGGAGTCCCCTATGAGGCCTCCTCCAACCCCTAAGAGCCTCACCCGGTCCTCTGGTGTAACAACAAACACAAAAACACAAAGCCCCCAAGCTATAACATAAAAAACTAAACCGTCTGGCCAAAACAACATTCAATCCCTACTGGGAAATATTCCAACCCATGGCAGCAACCAGGGGATGCTCATGCTATCGGGCTTCTCCCCTCTTTCGGCACTGGCCGAGCTCCCCCTTCCTTGGCTGCCAGAGGTGAACTGCCCTCCTGGCCTCACGCCTGGGTTTAAGAAGGGCCAAGCCCTGCCCCTTCATGTCAGCTGGCTCCACCGGTTACCCTAGCAACCAGCACCTGTGCTGCCCTGGTGACTGGCAGCTAAGCCTCCCCCTTCTTGCCACTAGGGGTCTCTC